TATTCTGAATAATAATAATGTAAATCATTTTTATATATTTGATATTTATATTTTAGGTAATAATTAAAATATAACTAAAATATATAATGTAATAGGGCCAGTAACATTCAAAAAAAAAAAAAAAAAACTAAAATATATAATGTGTATATATTATTATTAATGAAGAAGATAAGAAAATATATGGTGGATGCATGTGCATGGTAACAATAGTGGAAAAGATAACGGAAGTTATAACCGTAGGAGTATATTTGTCCAAAATATTTTAATGTACAACCTTTATAGCATAATGTACAAAAAAACTTAACGGAAAAAACGGACATAAATGAGGGGTATAATTTTCATTCATACTTATTATGTTTTTAGATTATTACATTACGGATTTACATCATGCAGTACAAATGTGGGACCAAACTTGTACCTAGAATTAGGAATGTCAATTTAGTCCGAACTTGATGGGCTGGTCCAATAAAATCAAAATCGACAGGGCAATGGCCCGAACGGGCTAGCCTGATAAAAAATATTAGCTCGATGAGCCTAAAATTGATAAGTTCGATGGCCCGATAGGGCTAATCCGATAATCCGAAGTATTGAAAACTATTCTTTATCTTTATTATAGAAGTGATGTGAAACCAAACATACATGAAATAATAATAATAATAATAATAATAATAATAACAATAATAATAATAATAATAATTATATATATATATATATATATATATATATATATATATATATATATATATATATATATATATATATATATATATATATATATATATGGTTGAGTTCAAATGAGGACAACAATATATAGAGGACTGTGAGGACAAATAATGGGCACACAACAAAGTAATACCATGCACATAACTTAATACATAATGGCACACAATAATAAATGTAAACATCAGGTTTCAAACCGAGGCTCTATAAATTAACAAATCTAGCACGCGATATACAAACTGTGGCACACGACTACATTCGGCCATGCACACGACATACCAACTAATGGCACACACTACATTTGTCCTCACAGTCATCTATAATATACTTGTCCTCATTTGAATACACATCTATATATATATATATATATATATATATATATATATATATATATATATATATATATATATATATATATATATATATATATATATATATATATATATACTAATAAGAGCCCAAGAGAGTTAGGCCTATAATGGGTAGAAAAAATGGCGGCCACATTTTTTAATAAAATGAATGGCTCAAATTGATCAGATTTTAATTTTTTACTTAAGATTTCCTAATTTATCCTTAATGAATATGATTATCCGTTAACTTTTCCGTTAATTTCTGTTAGTTCACCGTTAACTTATTCATTGATTTCAATAAGAAAGGTTTTAGGTTCAAACCTCATCCCAATCAAAGTTGGCAAAATTATTATTCTATTTTACTTTTATTAAATTAAAATTATAATTTAGTAGCTACAACAAAAAGTAATGCATATGCATTTCTTTAATTTAGAATTAGGGTGTCTACAATGTCTTTATTCAAAAAAAAAATTATTCATTATCAATAAATTATATAAGAGAAATAATTTCATTAGTTATATTGTCTTTATTTTTATCTAATATAAAAATTCTTTACATTCAAATTCATCAATTGATTATATTCGCTACATTGTCCCTACAATGCCTTTATTAAAAAAAATTATTCATATCAATAAATTAATTAAGAGAAATAATTTTATTAGTTATATTGCCTTTATATTTCTCTAATGTAAAAATTCTTTACATTCAAATTCATCAATTAATTATATTCACTACATTGTCTTTTTTTTTTTTTTTTTTTTGTGTACTATTTTTAAATTAAATATCAAAGTTATAATACAAAATAATGTTATATATTTATTTACCAAGTATTTTATTAATACCGTGAAAAAATTAAAAAAAAATATAATTAATAAAGCCAATCATATTAACTACTTGAGAGATTTGTTGACAAATAGAGTATTCAAATCACACAACAAATTGAAGTGAGAACTACCTCACAATGTCCTTGTTTGACAATCAGCAGTTAGCGGTTGTCGTTAGCGGATTTGACCAGCGAATTATATAACGGTTGTAAAAAGATATTTGAAAAAAATTAACTGTTTAGATTAACATGTAAAATGATCTAAGGGTATAATAATAATAATAATAATAATAATAATAATAATAATAATAATAATAATAATAATAATAATAATAATAATAATAATAATAATTGTTTTAAAATAATAAAAATAATAAAAATATAAGTAAGCCAATCATATTAACTATTTGGGGGATTTATTGACAAAAAGAGTATTCAAATCACACAACAAATTGAGGTGTGAACTATCTCACAATGTTCTTGTTTGGTAATCAGCATTTAGCTCTTCAATATTAGTATATATTTAATATTTTATGCCCATATTAGTATATATTTAATATTTTATGCTCTAATTTTTGTTTTCTCTCCCTTATGTGTTGTATTTGGTTTCAACCATACCCATACAATTATTTTATTGACAATTATAATCAATCTTTATTATATTATCTTGCATTTGTAAACTTAGAATTACCTATTCAAATATGCAAATTCAACATTCAATTATCTATGCATGAACAATTCCAATATAATCTTTCCTTGATATATACTTTAAAGTACTTATTTAAAAAAAACATTGGACATTATCCTAATCGCGCAATGCGCGCAAAAAACTAGTATATATATATTAAATTAAAACATAAGTTTTTAGTTTTTTAAAATTAAAAACTACACTAATTTAATATTTTGACTAAAAATTGACCGAAAACGGGGATGGAGATGGGGATGGGGACGGGGAGCAGTGGCAGATCCAGAAAATCATCTGAGTGGGGGCGAATATTAAATGTCGTCAGAAATGTCAATGACAAAATATCAAATAACCATAATAAGATTAAAATACAAAATACATTATAAATTACAATATATTTATGAGAAAATATGAAACATAATCAATTAGATAAAATAATTTGAATAACAATATATTCATAAATACTTTTAAATTTTAATTTCTTTTAGTTAGATCGATTTTTCTAAATTAATTCGAATACAATAAAGTATATTATAAACTTGTATACTACATTAATTAAATGATTTATAAAAACTAGACTAAAAGGGCATTTAATTTGTTAATTAAATGATTCATAAAAAGTACACTAAAAATATTTAATTTATCTTGTGAAGAAATGAAAGAGAGAAGATAATTAAAAGTGTTGCTAATGAGATTTGAACTCATGACATAAGCCTTTAATAACATAAACTTTAGAATTCAACCAACTAAGCTAATCAAACTATTGATGTTTTCAATATAAATATATATTTTATATAATATTTCATGCTATATATGTAAACATATACATACATATATATATAAAGGGCTCCCCCACACTGGGTCCGCCCCTGACGGGGAGTATACTTCCCGCCCCCACCCCGCCCCGTTGTCATCCTTACTCTAAATATGGGTACTCACTTTCAGTTTCTAATTTTAGTTCAGATGGTTTAACCCGCCCGATTAGCCCGATAACTCGAAGTTTAGGGTTAGAACCAAACCGAACTAAAATAATAAAATAATTGATTAGCCCGACAATTCCATAGAATTAGCCCGAAACCGAGCAAGCTGGCGCTATTGACATCCCTACCTAGAATGGTCAGTTCAGTTCTTTTTGCACTTTCTGGGTGATTCATTGCTTACTAATTAAGTAATTAGTCACATTCATTATAATTAATTAAGCAAAATCATGTGTATAAATTTGTACTTACAAATTTGTGTATATATCATTATCTAATAAAAAAAATACTACTTGCTTTCATTAAAAAAAAAAAGTACTACTCCGTATTTGCATAACGAATTATATACTCAAATTTACATAAACTTGTATGAAAATTCTTTATATTCATTGATTATTGGTAAGTTTATATTATATATTTCAGTTTTAACCAAACCCAAGAATCTAACATTCACAACAATCTAACATCCACAAGAATTCAATATTTGTTAAAGTAATTTGATATTCCGTGAATTAAACCACCCTTAATAGTTTGGAAAATAATTGTTAGAATTCAATATTTGTTAAAGTAATTTGATATTCCGTGAATTAAACCACCCTTAATAGTTTGGAAAATAATTGTTAGGACAAAAATGATGATTTCCTCTTGATTAAAACTCATTAGCAAGTTAAAAAAGATTAAATCATTAAATTCTTTTCGCCAAGATGTCTGATGTTCACACTAATAAATAGACCGGTCAACGACGGGAGAAAACAGTACAAAAGACAGATATTTTCAGTTTTTTTCACACATTCATTATTGGAGTGGTGTTCACGTACTAAATATTCTTTTCCAATGCAAAGAAAAAGTTAGCATGGAAATTGATGTTCAATTCCTTTTTCTGGTGTATTCACATTGCAAAGAGTAATACTACATGTACTCTCAAATCTTACTTCATCAATTTTACTTCTTAATGTGATGACTCTAATAAACTAATTTTTTTTATATGGGTCTCAAAACAAATGTCTAAATCAAAGATTTCAGTATGAAAATAAAAGTTGAAAGCAAAAAATATGAATGCACATAGCATTTTCCTATTGAGAACAATAACTTTTTTGAGTTTTATTACATCAACTCTCAATCTTTATTATTTTACTTTCTGTGATATAATAAGCAATAATAAATTTTTTGGCAACAACTCTTTTGGTGTATTATTTTACTTTCTCTAATATAATAAGTAATAATAATTTTTTTGACAACAACTCTTTCAGGTGTAAGTAAATTCCGTCTTGTAACCTTAACTGACAAAAAAAACCACAAAGAAGTAAACTAGCATAAATTACAAACTAAGAGGACAAGAACTTGTGAATCTTGATAAATTATTTTTACGAGTTAAGTAAACTATATTTACATAAAAAAAAAAAAATTAATACGAATTAAATTTGAAAGCCCGAGTGGCAAGTAGTAGTTTCCTTTTTCCTATTAGCTCAGCAAAAGTTAAAGGGATGCTAAAGGCAAAAGAGACAAAGTAAGATGGTTAGCTCAACTAGGAAGGAGTCATACACTTCTATTGAAATTCCAAAGCAGAGCTTCTCTTCTTCTTCTCCCATGGATTTTCTTCCACAGCTGTTTCTTTTACTTGCCATCTTCACTCCATCAATAGTGTGCCAAGTTTCAGGTATGTCTGTCTGTCTTTTGTATCTATAGCCTTCAATTCACTGCAAAGTAATATGGAAGTGATAAGCATAACATTTGGTTCAATAATTCACAGCTTAACAAAGTACAGTAGTCAGAGAAATTCAAATAACAACAAAACATTATTGTATGTTACGACCAAGCGCTTATCACTGCGAGCGCCAAAAGTAATAGTTAGTAGCGAATTGAAGGCGTAATTTTATTTCCTTATAGACCGGCATCATATTTTCGAAAGATAAAGTGCTAGACTTTGCCCAAAAATCCCCCTAACCACCAATAGACTTGGGCCCTTTAACGGCCTCGGTCCACCCAATATTGTAGACGAAAATAAAAATAGAAAGAGCATGTACTTCGTATCATATTTTAGTTGTTGAATCAAGTGTGTGTTAGTTGTGTTTGTCTAACAAAGAAAGAGTTGATACTCGATTATCAGGATTTCACCACTTTGATCCTGGACTCTTAAACGTGTTCAATTTTATTCTCAATTATGCAATGCAATTGTTAACCAGAATGGTCCTCAATCAAGACTATTTTGGTTCGTTTTAAGTAAAAATTGCATAATTGGGGATGAAGTCGAACAAATCTGAAAGTCGATGGACCAGATGAAATCGGATATTAACTCACTCTACCAAGAAAATTAAGGTTGAAACTGGAAATGCAGAGTTCATGAGTATTGACTGTGGAGGCAGCAGTAATTACACCGACCCAAAAACCGGCTTAGCATGGATTTCAGACAGTGGGAGGCAAGGAAAAGCAGAGAAAGTAAACACCATAATCAATGGGAGCACACAGCAATACCAGACAAGGAGAGAATTCCCAGCAGACAACAAGAAATACTGTTACAGTTTGAGCACCAAAGAGAGAAGGAGATATATTGTGAGAGCAACTTTTGTGTATGGGACAAGTACTACAGATGGGGGGATTTACCCAAAATTTCAGCTTTACCTGGATGCAACAAAGTGGGGGACTATAACTATTCAAGAGTCTTCAAGGATATATGTGAAGGAAATGGTGATAAGGGCTCCCTCAAAGTGTGTGGATGTGTGTGTGTGCTGTGCAACCACAGGGTCCCCCTTCATTTCTACTCTTGAGCTCCGCCCTTTGAACTTGTCCATGTATGCCACGGATTATGAAGATAATTTCTACCTCAAATTGGCTGCAAGAGTCAATTTTGGAGCTCAATCTACGGATGCAATAAGGTACCCATACACAATTTTTAAATGCAGTTCTTAGATCAAATACTTACCATTATGGTAAAAGCTATCTGCACCTGCTAGCCGTGATATCACTTGTTAGGATCAGACACTTACCACTATGTCGGGCAGAGGCCAGTAAATGGTCAAATCCGTCAATTGGTGACTAAGGGGAATTGTAGGGTGGAGGCCTGATAAAAGGCAAGTCCAACACCTGATGGCTAGGGGATTGTTGGATTGAGGCCTGGAGGGTCAAGTTCAACACCCAGCGTCTCAAAAATGTGTGGCAGAATAAGAAAATAAAGTTGTGACTTTGTTACTAGCTATACCTTTTGGCATAGTAGTATTTTTGAGAGGTGAGTTGGCCCATCAAGTCTCTGCCCAACAATCCCTTTGAAATTATAGTTTTTGGCGTAGTGGTAACCCCTTGATTCTAACCTAGCGAATGCACAACTTCATCATCTGTCACATTTTTAAAAGGCAAAGTGCTAGATTTGATCCTTTAAACCTCAACCCAACAATCCCCTAGTGTTGGACATGGTCCTTCACCGGTCTCAACCCAACATAGGTTGGGGCTTTAATTTGGGCATCTCATCTGATCTGAATTTGATGAGATCATATATAAATGTGTCTCTCAGGTACCCTGATGATCCTTACGACCGTATATGGGATTCTGATATAGACAAAAGGCCAAACTTTTTGGTAGGGATGGCACCAGGCACAGAAAGAATCAACACCACTAAACACATAGACACAAACACAAGAGAGTATCCACCTGTTAAAGTAATGCAAACCGGTGTAGTTGGGACTAGAGGAAGGTTAAACTACAGACTAAATCTGGAAGACTTCCCGGCCAATGCCCGCGCCTATGCTTACTTTGCTGAGATTCAAGATTTGAGGGCGAACGAAACCAGGAAGTTTAAAATGCAGGAGCCATATGTTGCGGATTACAGCAATGCTGTGGTGAACATTGCTGAGAATGCAAATGGGAGTTACACTCTATATGAGCCTAGCTACATGAATGTCACTTTGAACTTTGTTCTGTCATTCTCCTTTGTGAAGACCCGCGATTCTACTCGAGGGCCGCTGTTAAATGCAATGGAAATAAGCAGATATGTGAAGATTGGTGCTAAGACAGATGAACAAGATGGTAATATAATGCTGTGATCCATCTTGTATGTGGTGCTTAATTAGCTTTCATTTTCTCACCATTACCAAACAAACTAACAAAATGTGGTGTGCTTACTTGGAAGTGGATGCTCTGAAAGCCCTGCGTTCCATGTCAGTGGGAAGTGGCTGGACTGAAGAAGGTGGTGATCCTTGCGTGCCCACACAATGGGAATGGGTGAATTGCAGCACAACAATGCCTCCAAGAATCACCAAAATGTAAGTACTATACGTACAATTGTGTTAAGATCAAGCATTTATCACTATGCCAAAAACTAGCTAAGACACTATCACATTTTCTAGAGACTGGATGCTGGATTTGGTCCTTTATTGGCTTCCGTCCAACAATTCCCCCTCCTCCCAGCACTTGTCAGTCTTAACTGCACAGTAGGTTTTCCTAGCTTTGATACCACTTGTCAGGATCAAACACTTATCATTGTGCCAAAAGCTATAGCTGATAGCGAAGACGCGACTTTATTTCATTATAGACCGTCATCACATTTTTTAGAGTCAAAGTATTGGACTTAGTCCTTTACCAACCCCTGTACAATAATTCCCTAATCACCAATTGATGAACTTGATCCTTCACCGGCCTCCACCCAACAAATTTAATATCACTTCATCATGTTGACCTTATTTTAACAGTGTACTATCAGGAAAGAATGTGAAGGGTGAAATTCCACATGAACTCAATAACATGGAAGGTTTGACAGAGTTGTAAGTGCAATTATATTATTCCTTTTCTTATGGAGAACTATGATTATTGTTAAAATTAAAGATAATAAATCCAGTGACTTTCAACTATGTATATGTAGGTGGTTGGATGGGAACTCCCTCACTGGATTAATCCCTGACATGAGCAATCTTATCAATTTGGAAATTTTGTAGGTTCTTCTTAACTCATCATTACTTATATCTAACACCGTAATATCAAATACTGCTTTCGTCCCATTTATCCGTTCTACTTATCTTTTTAATTTGTTCCAAAATATTATTCTCTTTTTAAAATTAAACATTACCATCATTCTACTTTTCTCACTTTATCCTTATGAGTTTTACATTCTTTGTTGTTTTTATTTTTAAGAGTGAGGAGTATAATTGGAAAACATATACTCCGTATCATTTACTTTAGTTTCTTGAAAAGCGTGCAAAAAGTAAATATGATAATCAATTCGAGACGGAGGAATAACAAATATCTTTCTGACTTAGATCACAACTTGTTTATGGTGGTAAAACATGCAGACATTTAGAGAACAACAACCTCACTGGTGCACTACCTGCTTACCTAGGAAGTATGCCAAGACTACAGGAACTGTACGTATGCGGTGAAATTGATGATTTTATTTTTAATTATGTATTCCATGTCAACTAAAAGTCTAAGTTGATAGTTGAATTGTACATTTATGTTTATATATTATATGCTCAACATGCATTCTCACGTGTGCGAGCTGCGAGCCCGTTACTTTTGTCGGGCTCCAAGCAACATGTGGATCAAAGAGGTTGACTCTAATACCAAATTAAAACTTGTGTTCTATCTCAACTAAAAGTCTAAGCTAATAGTTGAATTGTACGTTTATGTTTATATACTATATGCTCAATATATAGATGATAATGTCCTTGTAATTTCATTTTCCCTAGCATCCGGCCATTTGAAGCTAGTAATTTTCTGCTTATACTGTTAAGTACTTAAATTGTTAATTGTGCAATTCTTGTCTCCTGTGGCAGAGATGTGCGGCACAATAGCTTAATTGGAGAAATACCTTTACCATTGCTAACAGGAAAAGTTACCTTCAGGTGAGTATATGCTTTTAGTGAGTATATGCTTTTAGTTCATAATCATATAGTAATAATTGGCAGATATATCATATATATGGCAAAAGCTTTAAGATAATAGTAAGGGATCGGAAAATATACCTTAAACTTGAAAGCCCGTATTATAGTTTGGTACTATACGACTAATCTCCGTTCACACTAAACCGGTCCAATTAAGGGACAAGGTATTGGTCGTATCAGTTTTTTCATACAAGAGGGTATTTTGAACTCTAGGAGGAGCCTGTACTATAGTTTGGTATCATACTCTGACTAATCCACGTTTGCACTGGCTGACCCAATTAAGGGACAAAGTGCTGGTCATATTGATTTTTTTATATGAGAGAGAATTTTGAACTCCCCACCTCTCTTAAGTCTTAAGAGATGAGAGTATACGATCACTTTCGCCAACTAAGCTAGTTAGCAGAGAACCTTAGTTAAAAGCTTTGACTTTGTACTTTTCCAGGTATGAAGGCAATTCTCAGCTCAGACATGGATCAAAGAACAAGTCACACAACAAACTGATAATTGGAGTTTCAGTTGGATTGGTTGCGGTTCTTTTCATTCTATTCATAGCTAGTGTGCTATCATTGCGTTACTTTAGAACAAAAGCATCTAGTCAAAGAACTGATGCCAAAGGTATGCACCAACTGCAATTTCATGCAATTCTTATAGCATATATGGACCTGGTTCACAGTGCACTATGGACCTTAGTGCATGTGTACGTGTCTTATATTGGGGGTGTTTGGTAAATAGTTGTTAGCCGATTGTGTTAGTGAGTTTGACTAGTTGATAGCATTAGCTGATGGTAGAAAAATGTTTGATAAATACTATTAGCTAATAGCTGATTACATACAAAATGATTTTCTCAAAAAGCTTATCAAAAAAGCTACTTTGACAGTTTATTGAATTTTAGTATTTTGAAATAATAAGTTATTATGAAAAGCTAATTATTCAAACACTCATATTGATTGTTTAACCAAACCAAACAGCTAATAGTGGTCAAATAAGCCAAAATTGACTGATAGGCTAACTATTTTACCAAACAGGTCGATTGTGAGTTTTTTTTTTTTTTTTTTTTTTTTTTTTTTTTTTTTTTTTTTTTGTTATGGAAATTTTGTATTTTAAGAGTATAAATTTTGTACTTAAAACAAATTAGTAATTGTGTCTTATGTTATGAATTTTTGTATCTTGTGTTGTAAAATCTTGTGCCTATGAATACAAATTATGTATCGAAATCAGATTTGAAAAATAAATAAATATATAACATGTGTATGTGTCTTGTGTTATGATTTTTTGTGTCTTGTGTTATAAAATTGTGTACCTTACAAATATAAATTTTGTTGCTCGTTGTTTCGACCCAGGATCTATAATGCTATGTGGACCCTAGTCCATGATATAAATTGCCAATTTCATGTACCTCAATAAATTAAATATTATCACTCAACTTCATCCATTATTTTTATGTGCACCTATCAGGTAATTCTTTGCGCACCAGCACAAAACCTTCAACTAATTATTCAATTGGTCGGGGTGGATCTTTAATGGATGAAGGTGTAGCATGCTATATTTCACTTGGTGACATACAACAATCAACAGAGAATTTTTCAAAGAGAATTGGGAAGGGAAGCTTTGGGCCTGTGTACCATGGAAAATTAAGGGATGGGAAGGAAATAGCAGTCAAAGTCATGGCAGATTCATCAAGTCATGGAACACAACAATTTTTCACAGAGGTAATAAATGCTCATACCAACCTATATTTCCTTAATTACTACTTCCCCCGTCCTATTTTATGTGTCGAGTTCGGTTAACGAAACTTGACTGAAGTTATTTACAATTTAATTTTTTATAATATTAAGTTTAGAATTAGTATGTAAAATTTAGGAAAAATTGTAATTTGTGCCCCTCCATAATATGTCAATTATCAATGTCACTCAAGAATTTTTAGTTGTGTAAATTTTCCCCCTCAATTTTTAAAACAGTACATATATTGCCCCTCTCGTACAATATATGTACCATTTTGAAAAATTGAGCGGCAACATTTACACTTGGGGGGTGGGGGGGGGGGGGGGGTGGAATATATGTACCGTTTTGAAAATTAAGGGATAACATTTACACCATTAATAATTCAGGGGTGATATTAATATATAATTGGCATACTATTTTTTTTTTTTTTTTTTTGGGGTATACCCAGGACATACTATGAATGAGCATAAATTACAATTTTCTCTAAAATTTATATATTTAGAAACTATATTAAAAGTACTATACTAATAGAAATAAGCAAGTACTCAAAAAACATAAAAAATAAAGAATTTGTTTGACCATAATAGTAAGTATGACAAATAAAATGGGACATAGGGAGTATTATATTTTGACAGGACTTGAATTTCAAGCCTCTGCCCAACAATTCCTTAGCTACCTGGTGCGGGACTTGGCCAAGGTCTTTGCCCAACAATTCCCCCCAACTACTTGCTTGTTAGGATGAAACCCTTACCACTATCCCTATTACTTGTTAGGAGAAGCGTTTACCGCTGCCACTGCCTCAAGTTATAGCTAGTTGCGAAGATGCAATTTTATTTCCTTTTACCACCAGATTTTCAAGAGGCACAGGGTGCTGAAAGCCTGGAACCTCCGTCCAACAATCCACCTAGCTACATGGTGCTGGACTTGGTCCTTCACTGAGCTTCGCCCAACACTTTTTAACTTTTTAGAGTCTAGTTGTACTGTGTAGTTTACAAACTCGGAACATTGTACATAAGAAAGAAACCCCAAGTTGGAATATACCTTGGTACACTAAGGAATTAAACCTAAATGACTAAGGAAACTCAATTCATTCAAAAACAGGATTCTTTCAATTTAGTAAAAATGTTGGAATGTTCACTACTACTACTACTCACAGGTTGCACTCTTATCAAGGATCCATCATAGAAACTTGGTGCCTTTAATCGGATACTATGAGGATGAGCATCAATGCATGCTAGTTTATGAATATATGCATAATGGAACATTGAGGGACCATATACATGGTAACACATAAACCTCTATCCTATCTATCTTTGGATGCTTTCCTTGTTTTAATTTGCTACACAATTATTGTCAAATGTTATTTATTGCCACATACTATGCCTAACAGACCCCAGCAATCAAAAGTACCTGGATTGGCTAGAACGCCTGCGCATTGCAGAAGATGCAGCAAAAGGTTTGCTTAATTACTAGTTCTAGTTATAATACACACATGTTTCGTCTCTCGACTATTAGGATTTCATCAACTTCTAAATTTGCTCAATTTCATCCCCAACTATGTAATTGTTGACCAAAATGGTCCTAATCAGGATTATTTTAGTTTAGACAAAAGATTATTTTAAGTAAAAATTGCATAGTTATGATGAAATTGAGCAATTTTGATAATCGAGGACAAAATTGGTGAAATCTTAGTCGAGGAACCAAATCGGGTATTAACTTTTAGTAACTCTCTTTGTCAAGAAGCAGACTAATTTCAAAGTCGCAACGTACATGCTAACTATTATTTGAGCCCACCCTCTTGTAGGCCTCGAGTACCTGCACACGGGATGCAACCCTAGTATCATTCATCGAGATGTTAAAACCAGCAATATTCTCCTAGATATCAATATGCGAGCAAAAGTATCTGATTTTGGACTCTCTAGGCAAGCTGAAGAAGACATAACACATATATCAAGTGTGGCACGAGGAACTGTTGGCTACCTAGATCCTGAGTATGCAATGTCCAAAATACCCATGATCCATCCACTATACACACACACACACATATATATATATATATATATATATATGCATGATTGGATATATATTATTAGAAACAATTAACCATTATGTTACCTTTAAGGCTTAATAAATGTTTTCTACCAGGTACTATGCATATCAGCAATTAACAGAAAAAAGTGACGTCTATAGTTTCGGAGTTGTGCTTTTGGAATTGATTACTGGAAGAAAGCCCATCTCAAGTGAGCTATACGGAGCTGACTGGAGCATTGTTCATTGGGTATCATCTTGTCTTTACACTCTTAAAAACCATATATCCCTTCACAGTTATATATATATAGTAGATGTAAAATATAATGCTAGCTTAGTAGTTTAGAACAAAACGTTGCTTCAAACCGCTGTATTGTCAAACATGATTTAAACGCCAAAAATAGCCTAAAAGTAATAATTATTAGCAAAAACATAAACATGTTTGTTCTCTTTGTCATGTTAGAACTTGAATTGCCACATATATATATATATATATATATATATATATATATATATATATATATATATATATATATATATATATATATATGTTGCAGTCAGCATGGCAAACTAATTAAAAGCATATATTATTATTGTTTAACGCATGCATGCGCAGGTAAGGTCACAGATTCGCAAAGGCGACATTGTTAGTGTGATAGACCCTAGACTGGCCGGAAAAGTGAAAGTTGAATCGGTGTGGAAGATAGCAGAAGTGGCAATTCAATGTGTTGAAAGGCATGGGTACTCGAGGCCAAGAATGCAGGAAATCATAATGGCTATACAGGATGCAATCAAAATTGAAAGGGGAATTGACAAATCATCCTCTGCTGAGAGTTCAAGGACGCAATCTTCAAGAAAAACACTCTTAACCAGCTTTCTAGATGCCCAAAGCCCAGACATCTCTAATGGATCACTAATCCCTTCTGCTAGATGATCTCATCATCACCCTTTAATACTTTTCTTAACTTCATCACAATCTAAGCCTGCTAACAAATTTTATATTAATTAGCCTTCTAGATGCCCAATAGCTAGCTCACGTGTTATCACAGCAGTTACACCATCAGTACTATATAGTGTGGAACTTCAATATAATATCCTTACATTTTATATTAACTACCATCATATCCGGCCTTGAGAATTAAATATTGTATAAGTTAAGATCAAGCATGTATCACTATACATATTATTAGGACTAGGTTATCCATATTAGACTAGGACTCTGTTATCCATATTAGACTAGGACTGTGTTATCCATATTAGACTAGGACTATATTATTCGTGTTAGACTACGATTCTATCTAGTATCTATATATTCGTGCAGTGCTCCACAGTTGTGAGAAATAGAATTGGGAAAGAAATTAGGGTTAGGGAAGAAAAAGAGGAGAAGAAGAGAGAAAGAACTCAGTATATTATTCAGCATAAACCTCTGTCCACTAACACTCTACAGATTTAATGGAAAGCAACAAGGGAAAACAACTCCTACATTATCGGATCATAACCGAAAGATGCGCTGGCAAAAACACCTAAAACGACGTCGTCGGATAGCTAGGGCAACGGCTTCAACGGTTGCTTCCATACGATGTCGTGGGATCCCTTTTATTCAACGGCTTAACTGCCCCTCATCATACGGCGTTGTTCTAGTCCCCCGACTTTCTCTTCTTTCAACTGTCAACTGTCTCTTCTGCCTTTCTTTCTTCTTCCATTTGCCACCCATCCTCCCTCTTTTCTTATCTATAGGACACCCATCTAGGGCTGCTGCATCTCCCTCTCCTTCACTTGATCCTTGTCCCCAAGGATCAAATGAGGGAAATAAATTCTTTAAGTGATAGTAGCTTTCCCAAGTGGCCTCTTCTCTTGGTAGGTTAGCCCATTGCACCAGTATTTCTACCATTGCTTGGTTACCCTTTTTCACCATCCTTTTATCCAGAGCAGCTATGTGAGCTGTCAGAATCTGCCCTTCCTGACCCAGTAATGGAGGATCAATTTGAGCTACTTTCCCCTCTCCAATTCTCTTCTTCAATTGAGAAACATGGAACATTGGATGGAGCTGGGACACTGGGGGTAATTGAAGCCTGTAGGCCACATTGCCTATTTTTTCCAGAACTGGGTATGGTCCATAATACTTTGAGGACAGTTTCAGATTCCCTCTCACAGCTAAGGTAACTTGTCTATATGGTTGCACCTTAAGGTAGACCATGTCACCCACTTCTAATACCCTTTCAGACCTCTCTTTGTCAGCCAAGACCTTCATCCTATTTTGGGCATGCCTGAGGTTCTCCTTGAGGCCAGCCAATACAGCTTCTCTAGCAGTTACCCATGGCAGATCCCCTCCCTCTGAGTGCATACTTACAGCCATTATAGGAGGCATGTAACCATATAAAGCCTGAAATGGGGTGCACCTTAGTGAGGAGTTGTAATTGGTGTTATACCACCATTCAGCCAAATGCAACCATTTCACCCAACTCTTTGGTTTTTGAAACACCATACACCTCAAGTACCCTTCAAGGCATTGATTCACCTTTTCAGTTTGTCCATCAGTTTGTGGGTGGTAAGCTGTAAAGAGATTGAGTTGGACCTGCATATTTCTGAACAGAGATTGCTAAAATTTGCTTGTGAAAATTTTGTCTCTGTCAGACACAATACTCCTAGGAAGGCCATGTAATTTATAAACATTTTCCATGAACAGGCTTGCCACACCCTCAGCAGTGTAAGGGTGAGCCAGGGCTAGGAAATGAGCATACTTAGTGAGCCTATCCACTACCACCAGGATCACATCCTTCTGGTGGGATTTTGGCAATCCTTCCACAAAGTCCATAGAAATGCACTGCCAAGCTTCCTCAGGAACATTCAAGGGCTGCAAGAGCCCAGGATAAGCCACATTCTCAGCCTTGCACCTTTGGCAAGTGTCACATCTCCTTACAAAACTTCTGACATCCTTCTTCATTCCCTTCCAATAGAAGAGAGACTTTAGTCTCTGGTAAGTTCCAGTCTGCCCAGAATGGCCCCCAATGGATGATTCATGCAACTTAGTCATCAAATCCTGTCTCAGATTACCAGTAGCTCCAATGTACAACCTATTTTTGTATCTCATAAGTTCTCCTACTATAGAGAGTTTAGGGTCAGCAGAAGGACTTACCAAAGCAGCACTAAGCCTATCATTGGCCCAACTGTCATCCTTATAACTCCTGATGATTTCCTCCATCCATTGTGGCTGCACTATGGAAATGGAGTTTACAGAGGCCTCAACATTGAGTTCTATCATGGAAAGTGCATCAGCAGCCACATTTTCAGTCCCCTTTTTGTACTGGATGGAATAATCAAGTCCCAGCAACTTAGACAATCCCTTCTGTTGCAGGGCAGTGGTGATCTTTTGCTCAAGGAGGAATTGGAGACTATGATGATCAGTTTTGATAGTAAAGTGTCTTCCTAGAAGGTAGGGCCTCCATCTCTCCACAGCATTGATTATGGAGAGATACTCCTTCTCATAGATGGAAAGTCCCAAATGCTTGTTCCCAAAAACTTTGCTAAAAAAAGCCACAGGCTTGCCTTCTTGTATCAAAACAGCCCCCATCCCTTTATAGCTAGCATCAGCCTCTATGATGAAATCCTTCTTGAAATCAGGCAATGCTAGAACTGGGGATTGACACAAGGCATCCTTCAACTTCTGAAAGGCCTCCTCAGCTTCAGGAGTCCACTTGAATGAATCATTTTTCAACATATCAGACAAGGGCTTGCTTGTGATTCCATAGGCCTTGATGAACCTTCTGTAGTATCCATCTAGACCAAGAAACCCCCTCAAACCCTTGATAGTATGAGGTTTGGGCCAAGCAGCCACAGCTTCAAGCTTGGCAGAATCAGTCTTTAACCCATCCTGAGATATAATGTGGCCCAAGTACTCAATTTGAGTTTGGGCAAAAGAACACTTGCTCATCTTTGCCAGCACCTGGTTTTGCCTCATAATACTTAGTACTTCTCTGAGGTGTTTCCAGTGATCCTCTAAGCCTGAACTATATACCAATATGTCATCAAAAAAGACCAACACAGATTTTCTCAATAATTTCCTAAAAACCTGGTTCATTAAGGCCTGAAAAGTAGCAGGAACATTGGTAAGCCCAAAGGGCATGACTTTGAACTCATATAGCCCCTGATGAGTTCTGAAAGCTGTTTTAAACTCCTCCCCTTCCTGCATTCTTACTTAATGATACCCTGATCTTAAATCCAGCTTAGAAAAGTACATAGCTCTAGCCAACTTTGAAAACAAATCTTCCACTAGAGGTATGGGAAATTTGTTTTTGGTGGTGATATTGTTGAGGGCCCTGTAATCAATGCAGAACCTCCAACTGTTATCTTTTTTAGGCACCAAAAGGACTGGTGAAGCAAAACATGAGGAACTTGGTGTAATGACACCAGTAACATCTCTTCCACCATTTTATCAATCATATTTTTCTGATCATGGGAATATCTGTAAGGTCTTATGTTGACAGGTTGGGCTCTAGGGATTTATATATATATATATATATATATATATATATATATATATATATATATATATATATATATATATATATATATATATATATATATATATATATATATATATATATATACAGGGAAGGGATCAGGTGCATTTGTTGCTTCCCGTGTGGATGTGCGGTGGATTAATGTGCGTGAGGTTTATACTTAATGTGCGTGAGATTTGTACTCAATGTGCCTGAGATTTGTACTTAATGTGCGTCATGTTAATATGCGTGAGTTTTGTACTTAATGTGCCTGAGTATTGTGTTTAATGTGCGTGAGATTTGTGCTTAATGTGCGTTAGTATTTCAGAATTACGAGCTCAGAAGGAAGCACAACAGAAACTCACGCACATTAACGCCCAAGCTTCTTGCTACTTCTTCCTTCAATTTGACCATGGATTCTGGATTATCAGCTACCTTCAGTGCAGTTGAATGTTTATATAAATGACGCACGCACAGTAAAATTTGCACAGTAGCTAAGTGTGGATTTCTGTTGTATTATTCTCATAATTCTTAACCACCATATCCCGCCCCCGCATCATCATCATCAGGGAGGGGGCAAATGACTACTGGGGATGAGGAAGAAGCTGACATCAATATTTTCTGCTGCATTTTACACATTCACGCATTAAGTACAAATCTCAGGCACATTAAGTACAACACTCACGCACATTGTGTACCAATCTCACGCACATTAAACCACCGCACATCCGCACGGGAAGCAACAAATGCACCTGATATATATATATTATATATATATATATATCAGGTGCATTTGTTGCTTCCCGTGCGGATGTGCGGTGCTTTAATGTGCGTGAGGTTTATACTTAATGTGCGTGAGAGTTGTACTTAATGTGCCTGAGATTTGTACTTAATGTGCGTCATGTTAATATGCGTGAGTTTTGTACTTAATGTGTCTGAGTATTGTGTTTAATGTGCGTGAAATTTGTGCTTAATGTGCGTGCGTATTTCAGAATTACGAGCTCAGAAGGAAGCAGAACAGAAACTCACGCACATTAACGCCATGCTTCTTGTTACTTCTTCCTTCAATTTGGCCATGGATTCTAGATTATCAGCTACCTTCAGTGCAGTTGAATGTTTATATAAATGACGCACGCACAGTAAAATTTACACAACAGCTAAGTGTGGATTTCTGTTGTACTATTCCCATAATTTTTAACCACCATAGCTCGCCTCCGCATCATCATCATCAGGGAGGGAGCAAATGGCTACTGAGATGGGGAAGAAGCTGACATCAATATTTTCTGCTGCATTTTACACATTCACGCACATTAAGTACAAATCTCGGGCACATTAAACACAACACTCACGCACATTGAGTACAAATCTCACGCACATTAATCCACCGCACATCCGCACGGGAAGCAACAAATGCACGGGAACCTTTCACTATATATATATATATATATATATATATATATATATATATATATATATATATATATATATATATATATATATATATATATATACTTACACATTCAATGTGGCCTTAATCTCCAACTCGCGCTTACATGCACGGGAGTCTAATACATAGATTTTTCTTGATGGAACAGAAATAACTAGAAGCATCCAATGATTTCTACGACATTTAAATAAATATGT